TGCTGCAGCAGCAGCAGCAGCAGACACACAAAACGAGAAGTTGCTGCTCTACAGGCTTTTATTACATTCTCATACAAACGGCCGCAGCTGTGGGGCCTGCGACGGGGACCGCTGGCGGAGTCTCCTGGTGGCTTTTGAGCAGCAGCAGCAGCAGCAGCAGCAGCAGCTTACTGCTGCTGCTGCTGCTGCTCTCTCTGTCTGCTGCAGGCCAATCCCCCAGTCAAATCTCCTGGGGTCACTAGCAGCAGCAGCAAGTCGCTGCTTCTGCTGCTGCTTTAGTACAGAGAAAAATGGTGAGCAGCTGCTGCCCTGGTGCAGCAGCAGCAGCAGCAGCTGCTGCTGCTGCTGCTGCTGCTGCCGACCTTTAGGCGCTGCATGTACATACACTCCAGCGCTCCTGCGCTGAATGAAAACTGCGGCAGCAGCTGCTGCCGCTTCTGCTTGCTGCAGCAGCAGCACTATCATCTGCTGCAGCAGCGGAGGCTGTTGGCGGGGCCGCGAGAGCAGCAGCAGCAATTAATCTCTAAGGCAACACAACAAAACTCTGCTGCTGCTGCAGCTGCTTTTGTCGCAGCGAGTAGGCGGGCACACTGCTGCTACTGCTGCTTCTGCTGCTGCTGCTGCTGCTGCTGCGCTGTTGCAGTCACTGCTGCTACGCGCCGCAGTTCCTGGGAGAGGAAGCAGACTGATACGAATCGTTTGATTTAGTAGCAGCAGCAGCAGCTGCTGCTGCTGCTGCTGCTGCTGCTTTTGCTGCTGAAATACCCACACTGCCGCTGGGGTCTGCGCCGCCCAAAAGCACTGGGCGGGTCTGCTGCTGCAGCTGCTGCTGCTGCAGCGGGTGCTGCCGGAGCTCTTGCTGCTGCAGCAGCTGCTGCTGCTGCTGCTGTCCGGCGACACGGTGGCACCAGCTCCTCTGGAGCTGCTGCTGCTTAAAACGTTGTTCACGCGCAATCTGCTGCCGCAGCAACTGCTGCGGCACTAGCAACTGCTGCTGCTGCTGCTGCTGCTGCTGCTGCTGCTGCTGCTGCTGCGCCTGCTCTGCCTCATACACCCTGGAAGCCGAGGAGTACTGCAGCACTTCGCTGGGACTGCAGCTGCTGCTGCTGCTGAATGGCTAGCCTTTGGTGTCGAAGAAGGTGCTGCTGCTGCTGCAGCCGCTGCTGCAGCAAGTGCTGCTGCCCACGCAAAACCGTCAGCAGCCGTTGGTCCCTCAAAGAGCTGCTGCAGTACCCAGCTTCTGTTGCTGTGGCGCAAGGATCTGCGAGAGCCTGCTGCTGCTGCTGCTGCTGCTGCTGCTGCTGCTGCGGCTGCTGCTGCGTGTGGGAGGCCGTGGCCCCTGGAAATTGCAAACGCATGAGGGCTCGCTGCTGCTGCTGCTGCTGCTGCAGGAACAAAGACCGTTGCTGCTGCTGCTGCTGCTGCAGGCGAGTGATCAGTCTCTGGGTGAAGGCGTCGTCGCCGCTGCAGCCCTCCCCGTCTGCTGCTGCTGCTGCTGCTGCTGCTGCTGCTGGCTGCGCAGCAGCAAACTGCTGCTCCTGCGGCGAAGTGTAACAGGCTGGGGAAGTGGGCGAAGGAGCCTCAGAGGCGCAGCAAGTGCTGCCAGTTGCATGCCCCATTGAGGGGGAGACTGTGGAGCAGCAGCAGCTGCTGCTGCTGCTGCTGCTGCTGCTGCAAGACAAGCTCGGCTTTGCTGCGGGGCCCGACAAGAAGGATCCGCCGGCCCTTCCTGCTGCTGCTGCCGCTGCATTCGAAGCACCAGCTCCACCCCCGCTGCTGCTGGTTGCGCTGCTGCCTGCAGCAGCAGCAGCAGCAGCAGCTGCTGCTGCTGCTGCTGCGTCCCTGCTGCAGAGGCACTCGGAGCTCCTCACACATGCTGCTGCGCTGCTGCTCTTTGTGTCTCCTCGCCTTTTTGCTGGAGCCCCCAGAGGTGTGTCTTCCTCAGAAACAGAGTAAGACCCATTAGCAGCAGCAGCAGCAGCAGCAGCAACAGCAGCAGCAGCAGCAGCACGCACGATGCGCCGGGGCCGGGCACTGACTGCCTGGCAGCGGTGCTCCCGCGACTGCAGCCGCAGCTGCAGCAGCTGCTGCTGCTGCTGCAAATGCTGCGCCAGTTGCAGCTGCAGCCGTTGCTGCAGCCCGTTCTGGCAATAGTGCTGCTGCTGCTGCTGCTGCTGCTGCTGCCCCAGTAGTGCTGCATATTGCTGCTGCTCGCCTGCAGGGGCGCAGCAGTCCTCCTCTGGGTGACAGAGCGCATCCCACACCCCTGAGTGCTGCTGCTGCTGCTGCTGCTGTTGCTGCTGTTGCTGCTGCTGCTGCTGCTGCCGTTGGTCTTGTCCAAGCACCACAAAATGTCGAGGGTGCGCGCTGTACCCTGCTGCTGCTGCTGCTGCTGCTGCGCCGGCTGCTGCAGTGTTCTGGTGCTGCTCGGCGTAGCTGCTGCTGGCAACACACCAGCTGCTGCTGCCACATGCGTGTGCTTGCAAGGTCAGCTGCTGTTGCTGCAGCTGCTGCTGCTGCAGCTGCTGCTGCAACTGCTGTTGCTGCAGCTGTTGCTGCTGCAGCTGTTGCTGCTGGAGCTGCTGCTGCTGCAACTGCTGCTGCTGCAACTGCTGCTGGAGCTGCTGCTGCTGCAACTGTTGCTGCTGCAGCAGGTGTTGCTGCTGGAGCTGCTGCTGCTGCAGTTGGGGCTGCTGGAAGCTGCGGCCTCTGGCGGGTTCGCCCGCAAGTGGGGAGTCTTCGCAGGCTGCTGCTGCTGCAACAAGAGTGGTTGCTGCTGCTGCTGCTGCTGCGCTGCTGCTGCTGCTCGGCGTCTCGACGGACTCGCTCAGCCGCAGGCCCCCCGAAGAAGCAACAGTGCTGCCGTCTGCTTGGCTTTGCTGCCACGCGCAGCTGCAGCAGCAGCAGCAGCAGCTGCTGCTGCCTCCGCTGCAGCTGCTGTCGCTGCAGCTGCTGCGGTGGCTGTGTGGGTCGCGGTCGCCTGCGTAGGTGACCATGGCCAGCTGCAGCTGGAGCTGCTGCTGCTGCTGCTGCTGCTGCAGTTGCTGCTGCTGCAGGTGCTGGAGCTGCTGCTCGTGGTGCCTGGTCTCTGCTGCGCGCGTTGTTCCCGGCGCGTCTTCCTGCTGCTGCTGCTGCTGCTGCTGCTGCTGCTGCTGCTGCTTGGCGCGTTCCTGCTGCAGCTGGTGGCGGTTCGGGGGTTCGCGGGCGTGGGGCGTCTGCCGCTGCGCGTCGTGCGCAGCAGCAGCGTGCTGCAGCTGCAGCTGCTGCAGCTGCTGCTGCTGCAGCTGCTGCTGCTGCAGCTGCTGCTGCTGCAGCTGCTGCTGCTGCAGCTGCTGCTGCTGCAGCTGCTGCTGCTGGTGTTGGTGGTGGTGGTGGTGTTTGTGGAGTTCGTTGTGGTGGTGGAAGTGGGCGTGTGTCTGTCGCTGCTGCCTGTGCTGCTGCTGCTGCAGCTGCAGCTGCTGCTGCAGCTGCTGCAGCTGCTGCTGCTGCTGCTGCTGCAGCCGCCGCGGCAGCGCGCGCTGCTGCAGCTGCAGCGAAGCACTCAGTGCTGCTGCCATCACATTCGTTCTGTACCTGTTGTATTCTTCTGGAGAAACAAAAAGATGAAAAGAAATGAGAGAAAGAAACTGAGCTTCCAAGAGGTTAAGTTCGGGTGTACGTACACCCCCCACCCGCGCGTAGTGCTTGTTGCTGTAGTAAACGTCATCATAGAACTTAGCAGCAACAGCAACAGCAGCAAGCAGCAGCCGGTGGACGTTCAGCGGCGAGAGGCAAAAGCTGCTGCTGCTGCTGCTGCTGCTGCTGCTGCTGCTGTGCTGCTGCAGCAAACGGTCGATGTACACCAGGGCCAGCACGAAGCACTCGTTGCTGCAGCCGAAGTACCGCAGCAGCCGCTGCAGGTAGGCAGACACCGAGATCCCGGGTGTACATACACCGTGAAACGCCGTGGTCCCGCCCCCGCCTGCAGCAGCAGCAGCAGCAGCAGCAGCAGCAGCAGCAGCAGCAGCAGCAGCGGGATGGGGGGGGGGGGAGGGGGGGCAGATGCAGCAGCAGGCGCTGCTGCGGGAGCAGCAGCAGCAGCAGCAGCAAGGGCACAGGCACTGGCAGGGATGCAGCAGCAGCAGCTGCTGCTGCTGCTGCAGCAGCAGCAGCAGCAGCAGCAAGTGTTGGAAGAAGGGACAAAGGGCGGTTGAGAGGGTATGACGTAAATGTAGAAAAAGAAATCATAAAAAGACAATAAATAAAATAAAAGACAAACAAATGAAAGAAATAAAGAAATAAAGAAATAAAAGAAATAAGAGAGAAATAAAGAAATAAAAGAAATAAGAGAGAAATAAATTACAAAAGAAACAAAAAAGGTAAAAAGGAATTAAATAAATAAAAGAATAAATGAAACGGAATGGAAGGAAATAAAATAAATTAAAAATGAAAGAAATGAAATGCAAACAAAAAGAATTAAAAATAAAAAAAATAAAATAAAATAAAAATGCATTAAATCAAACTAATTCAATTAAATAAATTCAATTAAATAATTTCAATTAAATAAATTCAATTAAATAAATTCAATTAAATAAATTCAATTAAATAAATTCAATTAAATAAATCAATTAAATAAATCAATTAAATGAAGAAATTAAATTAAATTAAATAATTAATTAAATTAAAAAATTAAATAAATAAAAAAGAACCAAAAAGGAGAACTGAGAGGAAAGCAAAAGGACAAAATTAGAAATAAATAAAATTAAAAAATAAAATTAAATAAATAAAGATAAAGAAGAGATAAAGACAAACATAAATAAATAAATGAATTAATTAAATAATAAATAAATTAATTAATTTATAATCAATTAATTAATTAAAGTAAATAAATAAATAAATAAAAATAATAAATAAACAGAAAAACAAATTAAAATAGCATAGGGAAATAAACTTAATGAGGACGCGCCAGCAGCCGCAGCAGCCGCAGCAGCAGCAGCAGCAGCAGCAGCAAAACGGAGTGCTGCTGCAGCAACACTCCTGCTGCTGCTGCTGCAAATTTACTTGTTTGCTGCTGCTGCAGCAAACGAATAAATTGGCAGCAAGAAGGCGGGGGAAAAAGAAATAAAAAAGAAAAAGAAGTAAAAGGCAATAAAAAGAAATAAAAAAGAATTAAAAAGAATTAAAAAGAATTAAAAAGAAATAAAGAAATAAAAAAGAATTAAAAACAAACAAAAAGAAATAAAAAAGAAATGGAAAGAGACACGAAGAGAAGCCAGCAGCAACAAGGAGGCAGCAGCCGCAGCAGCAATAGCAGCAGCAGCAGCAGCAGCAGCAGCAACAGCAGCAGCAGCAAAAGAAGAAGAGACGCAAAAAGAGAAAAGCCGCAGACAAATAAGGAGACAAACAGCAGCAGCAAAACCTTTAAGGGCCTAGGGCTAAATGACACGGACTGTGCTGCACATACGCATTTTGCTGCTGCTGCTGCTGCTGCTGCTGTTGCTGCTGCTGCTGCACTTACTGTTTGCTGCTGCTGAGGAGACCAGGTGCTCGAGCACTGTGGCTAAAGAGGAGATGAAGGCGGGCTCTGTAGGTGGGGCCTCTGCGAAGCAGTCCCTGCTGCAGCTGCCGCTGCTGCTGCTGCTGCTGCTGCTGCTGCTGCTGCTGCTGCTGCTGCGGTCAAGGGCCTCCGGGGGGGGCCCCACAGCCGCCACCCCATTTGCTGCTGCACTCATTTTGCTGAAGGCCCCTGGGCAGTGGTTGCTGGGTGTGTGGGTAGGGGCTGCTGCGCGTGCATTTCAAGGGCAGCAGCAGCAGCAGCAGCAGCAGTTGCTGCAGCAGCAGCAGTTGCTGCTGCTGCTGCTGCAGCAGCAGCAGCTGCAGCAGTTCGACGCGGCCGCCTGAGGTGTACGTGGGCACACCGCAGCAGCAACACCTCCCTGCTGCTGCAGCTCCTCTAAGCCTTAAACTCGAGGCCAGCAGCAGCAAGTTCGCAAAAACGAGTTGCTGCTGCTGCTGCTGCTGCTGCTGCTCCACTCACCCCCCTACGCTCTCTATCCCGTGCACGCCGCAGCGTTTCCCGTTCCCGCCCTCGCTGCTGCTGCTGCTGCTGCGCTGCAGCAGCAGCAACCCGCGCTGCTGCGCTGCTGCTAATTATTAACCCGAAATAACTTCTTAGGGAAGGCAGCAGGAGCTGCTGAGCTGCCTGTCACCCCTGCGTACACAGACCCGTGCAGCAGCAGCAGCAGCAGCAGCACAGGCAGCAGCAGCACGACCGCACACCCGAGAAGCAGCAGCAACAATCAATCTGCTGCTCGTCCTCATCGGTTTCAAAGCAAAGCAGCTGCTGTAGCGAAAGGAGAAGAATAGACAAGGGGAATGTAGATGCTGCTGCGCCTGCTGCTGCTGCTGCTGCTGCTGCTGCTCCCGCGCAGTACGAGCTCCCGCTGGGGCGGCACAAGCGGCAGCAGCACGAGCAGCAACGGGTGCTGCTGCTGCAGCAACCCTCTTGCTGCAGCAAGAAACACCAAACAAATGAGGCAGCAAAGATAAAAAGATGTGTATATCGAAGGAACAACGGCAATAAAGAGCGAGCAGCAGCAGCAGCAGCAGCAGCAGCGGCACCCACCCGTGTTGCCAAGCCGCAACAGGAGCAGCAACTGGTGCTGCTGCTGCTCTGTGCAGCAGCAGCAGCAGCAGCAGCAGGCTCCCAACTACTTCTTCGAGCTCCCTCCTGCTTTTATACATCCAATTTCAATTTGTTTTCTTGCTGCAGCAGCACGAGTTCAGGGTCTGCGGTGTGCTGCCGCTGGTGTGTCTCGGTGGCTGCGCACCAGACATTGCTGCTGCCGCTGCTGCTGCTGCTGCTGCCGTTGCTGCTGCTGCTGCTGCTGTTACCGTGGCGGTTGCTGCTGCTGCATCATCAGCGCCTCATTAAAGTGTCTTACATGTACTAACGCTCTTTTGGTTCAGGCTGCTGCTGCTGCGGCTGCCGCTGCTGCTGCTGCTGCTGCTGCTGCTGCTGCTACTGCTGCTCCTGCTGCTGCGTCTCTGGCTATTCTCTATTCCAGGAACTGTAATAGGGCAAGGCTTTCCTTCTGTGTGCTGCCTTGTGTTGATGGGACTACAGCCACTGCTGCTGCTGCTGCTGCCGCTGCTGCTGCTGTTGCTGCTGCTGCTGCTGCTGAGTTGCCAGTGCTGCAGCTGCTGCTGGCGGTCTGTCTATGAGTCTGTGGGGCAGCAGGAGGCAAACCCTAGAGCAGCGAAAGCTAAACCCTAAACCCTAAACCCTAGCCCTTCCCCTCAGCCAACTGCAGCAGCGCCGAGAGCCAGAGTTGCTGCTGGCGGTACTCCAGTGGGATGGCGTAAACCCTAAACCCTAGACGGCGAAGACCCTAAACCCTAGCTGGCGTAAACCCTAAACCCTAGACGACGTAAACCCTAAACCCTAGACGCCAAACCCTAGACCCTAGGGGCAACGTTGTGGGTTCTGTTGCGTTGTGGAGTGCTTCTTTAGCTCTTAAAGAGCGCTTAACCTCCCGAGGGTTTAGGGTTTAGGGTTTAGGGTTTAGGGTTTAGGGTTACGGGTTTAGGGTTTAGGGTTTAGAGGGGCTGGCTGGCTGCTGTGGGCGCCAGGGAGCAGCACCGCAGCTCCCAGCGCTGCCAGCGGCTCCTAAACCCTAAACCCTAAACCCTAAACCCTAAACCCTCGAGGGTGGGGTTGAAGGGAGGCTGGGGCATTTTTTGCGCTTCCTCTGTTGTCTGCTGCCGCTGCACCTGCTGCTGCTACTGCTTCTGCTGCTGCCCCTTTAACTGCTGCTGCTTCTGCTGCTGCTGCTGCTGCTGCTGCTGCTGCTGATTGGGTTTGCTGCACTGCTTCCTACTGGCGCCAAAGGCCCCTTAATGTCTTTTTGGGTCTTTTTGTTTTTTTATTTCTTTTTGGTTTTCTTTTTGTTTCAAATTATCTCTCAAAGTCTTTTTTTATTTTTTTCCTTTTTTTCTTTTTTGTCTTTTCTTTTCTCCTGTGTTTCTTGCTGCTGCTCCTTTTGCTTCTTCTTTGAGTTTGCTGCTTCCCTGTGTCTTTTGCCTTTTGCTGCACCCCCGGGGCCTAGCAGCAGCTCGCTGTGCTGCTGCTGCTGCTGCTGCTGCTGCGGCCGGGTGTCCTGCTGCCACTGTTGCTGCTGCTGCTGCTGCTGCGGCCGGGAGTCCTGCTGCCACTGTTGCTGCTGCTGCTGCCTGCTGCTGTAACTGCCAGTGGCCCTGTTGCTGCTGCTGCTGCTGCTGCTGCTGCCACTGTTGCTGCTTAGGTGCTAGACACTAAGGCAAGCATCAGCATCAACAGCAGCTACACTAGCAGCAGCAGCAGCAGCAGCAGCAGCAGCAGCAGCAGCAGCAGCAGCAGCGGCAGCAGCTTTTAGCTACGTCGCCGGTCACTTTCTCTTAAGTACCTACAACTACAGGTGCTCTTGTTGCGGCTCCTCTTGCTGCTTCTGCTGCTTCTGCTGCTTCTGCTGCTTCTGCTGCTGCTGCTGCGTATTGCCCTGTTGCTGCTGCCACTGCTGCTGCCACTGCTGCTGCTGCATCTGCTGCTGCTCGTACTGAAGTCGCTATTGCTGCTGCTGCTCTTGCTGCCGCTGCTGCTCCTGTCTTTAAAAACAGTTAACAGCTCTCCTCAGGGCCCCACACTTCAGCAGCAGAAGAACCGCAGCAGCAACACAGTGCCTCGTCAGCAGCAGCAGCAGCAACACTAGTAGCAGCAGTAGCAGCAGCAACGGCAGCAGCAGCAGCAGCAGCAGCAGTGCGAAGACTGCTTGCGGCGTTTCATACCATCCCACGGACTTTCCAAACTGTGGGTGAACTAGCCAATAGAAGGCGCAGCAGCTAGCTATAAAACCCGGAGTTAGCCTGCGGCCCACAGTGCTAGCTAGCTAGCTAGCCAGCCAGCTAGCTAGCTAGCCGGCTAGCCAGCTAGCTAGCTAGCCAGCTAGCAAGATAAATAGTCAGCCGGCTACGCAGCTAGCTAGCGAGCTAGCGAGCTAGCTGGCTAGCTGGCTACCTAGTTTGTTAACTAGCTGGCTAGCCAGCTAGCTAGCTGGCTAGCTAGCTGGCTAGCTAGCCAGCTAGCTAGCTGGTTAGCTAGCTCGCTGGCTAGCTAGCTGGGCAGCGGACCCCGTTCAAACGCGCTGCACGCTCGGCCTTGGCTAGCCCGCAGACGAACTGCTGGCGAGCTGTAGAGCCAGCTGGCTAGCTGGCCATCTGGCTGGCTAGCTTGTTGGCTAGTTGGCTAGCTGGTTGGCTAGCTGGCTATCTGGCTAGCTAGCCGGTTAGCTAGCTGGCTAGCTGGCTGGCTTGCTGGCTGGCTTTCTGGCTAGCCAGCCAGCTATCTAGATGGCCCGGAGGCTGTATTGCTGGCTGTATGGCTGGCTATGTGGCTAGCTACATGGCTAGCTAGCTGGCTAGCCAGCTAGCTAGCCAGCCGCGTGGCTGGCTAGCGAGCCAGCTAGCTGGTAGGCTTCCAGGCATCGAGCTAGCTAGCTAGCTAGCTGCTCAGCAGCAACAGCAGCAGCACAAGGCTTTAGCGCTTCCGTTGGGACAGCGCTATCTGCTGACAAGTAGTCGCTGCAGCTGCAGCTGCTGCAGCAGCTGCAGCAGCGGCAGCAGCAGCAGCTGTTGCAGCTGCTGCTGCTGCCGCTGCTGCGAATCCCGTTGCTGCCTCAGCGCCCGCCGCCTCTGACTCTCCAGCCGCCGCAGTGGCAGCCGCCTCGGCAGCACCAACAGCAGCAGCAGCAGCAGCAGCAGCAGCAGCAGCAGCAGCAGCAGCAGCAGCAGCAGCAGCAGGCTAGGTCTCTTTGACGAGGCCGCACTGCGCAGTTTGGAAGAGAACTGCCATTAGCTGCCGGGCCCTTCTGGACAGCAGCGGCTGCAGCAAACAGCGGAGGCCGCCAATGCCTTCTGTGGGGTCTCTGCGGGCGTCCCAGTGTCGGCCGTGCTGCTGCTGCTGCTGCTGCTGCTGCTGCTGCTGCTGCAGCAGCAGCTGCTGCTGCTGCTGCCAGGGCGGCGAGAAGACCCCCGGAGAAGCTGCTGCTGCTCCCTCCGCCTCGGGCCGCATGAAGTCGCACAGCCACAAACCCCGCAAGTGACTCAGCAGCTGCAGCAGCGGCAGCAAAGCGCGGGACTGCAGCAGCTGCGGCTGCAGCACGAAGACCAAGTGCGACAGCAAAGCAGCAGTGTCTTTGTCCAGAAGTGCTGCTGCTGCTGCTGCGTTGCCCATGGCCAGCAGCGCGATGGCGTTGGCCTCCGCCAGGTTGCTCTGCGGGTCGCTGCCCATGCCCCACCTCACGCTGCTGCTGCTGCTGCTGCTGCTGCTGCTGCTGCTGCTGCTGCGGGCGGAGCCCGCAGCAGCAGCCATCGACAGCCGCGAGGGCAGGCTGCTGCAGAGGTCGCCCGAGCTCGCCTGAGCAGCAAACTCGATGGCGTCTGCTGCTGCTGCTGCTGCTTTGTGGATTTCGTCCTGCCAGCTGCTTTGGGAGCCAGCCTCTCGCGCTTTTGCTGCTGCTGCTGCTGCTGCTGCTGCTGCTTCTGTGGCAGCTGCAGCGGAAGCAGAGGCAGCCGAGCGAGCAGCAGCAGCAGGCCAGAAGCGCCCTGCTTCTGCGTAGAGGCCGACGGGGCAGTCGCAGGTGCGGTGCAGGCAGTCGTCTGCTGCTGCTGCTGCTGTTGCTGCTGCTGCTGCTGCAGC